GTAGCAGGACCTCCTCCCAAGTCGTTACGCGGGGTCGACGATCGCTGTTCATGGACTCGCGACACCATTAGCTAACTACACATATTACCATCCTCAAAACCATCACAAAAGTTATTAATTATTGCTTAAGAAAGGATTGCTGCTGATGGAATAAATTAGACGCTGGTGTCACTTTCAGAGTATCGTAATGTTACATGTAACCATCGTTATACTTGTGGTATGGTAGACGGTCTATTTCTCCTCACTTGTGTGTTCGAAGGAGAATGTTATTTCTACCAGGAATGTAGAGCACATATTCGCGACGGCCGAATTACCAGGCTCGTAGACACAAGTGAAGGTACAATATGAAAGCAATTAGCGCGGCTGCATGGCCGAGACGCCGGCGTCTGGCGGCGGCAGGCGCGGCGGGGCGCCACTCCACAGCTCTGCTACCCTGGTATTTAGCAATCGATACTCTAACAAATACATTATACGCAAACTAAGTGCCTACTAGCCAAGTTGTATGTTTGTTTCATTAGCATGTATGTAAATAGAGTGAAACAGATATAATTTAATCATACCGATTAGACTAATATATGCCGGATCAAGTCTCAACCAATTTCCGAGATAGATTCTGCGAGAAGAATGTGTCTTATCTCTACCACGACTCTAAAGTGATGGAACAACGAGCTCCTCGCAGAATCAATAAATATGTAGTGATCTCGAATATGTGGACGATGTAACGAAAGTCGAAAACCGAATAGTCGGGCCTTATTTAGAGCTTGTGGCTCAAAAACTGTGCGCTGGGTGATGGCGCTCGCGGGGACTGGGGCGCGGCTGCGGCGGGCCGAGGGGGGGCGACCCTCGGTAACTAAATTTTGAACTGTCACGTAGATTAATGATGGTAGGCCCGTGCGATACGCGCTAATGCCTGTCGATTAGTGTGGATGCGACAAGTGTTCCCGTTGTAATCGCCACCTCGTTGTTTCTATAGACATTCAATTCGTTTCAGCTCGATAGACGCCATTAGTTTGTATTTGATCGGATTCTTAAATACGAACGAGCTTTATTATACAACATTAATACCCGATAAAGAAGGAAGAATGCACCTAAGAAATGTCTGAAGACGTATTTTATAACAAAGATGGTTAAAAGTAAAGATTTTTATTATTATATTAAAATGAAAGGCCTCAGTAAAGTTTTTCTCAAATTGAATTCAAAAGTTTGTTCTTAATATATTTTGGTAAAGACTGACAGTACCGAATAATCTTTACTGCTACTATTTCGCGCACTGGTTATAATTTATGTTTTATGTTTACAATGTCGTATCCACATTTTCCTTACGTCGCCTCGTCGGTGCGAGGGTACAGAATGGATTTCGGAAATCGATTGCCTCCAAAAATATTTACAGGGCCCACGTGCGGGCGCGGCACCCTCCCCGCGCTCCCGCCCCCGCCCCGCCCGCGCCACGCACACTAATTTTAACCAACCACCCTCACAGCAACACTTCATATGTAACCAGTCCACAACCGACCGTGCCTTGATGTAAGTTTAGCGATCTGAAGCTAGCTTTAACTATGCCACGGTATTCAGTGGCGGCTATTAATGAAAACGATAGTACCAATCGAGCTTTCTTCCATTTATACAAAATTCCTCATTAAGTACGTAAGAATAGAATGGATATTGTTTTTTTTTTTAAAGTTATACTGTGTTAATATGTTTATTCAATCCAAACCATGATTTTCTATCAAAAAAGCAAAAACTAAACGGGAGTGTTAATTAGAAGAACCCAATAGAAATTAGAAATGTGAGCAAAGCCATGTGCAGAGCAGATGCCCCGCACAAAACCCAGCTTGAAGGATCGACGCCACAGATGGCAAAATACTTGTGTGTATTTTTAGCTCCAAATGTATGGAAATTTATATGAACACCTTGCGGGTCACTTAGCACGGCCGATGTTATTGTCAATAGTTCAATATTCAAAGTTATAAACAAATCCCGACCTCAGTCAACTCAATAAAAACACAACCACTATAATATAAATTATGAAATACATTACACTCGGCCGAGCTGTAAACGTCATGGCGATCAGCTGATCAAATATATTGCTACTGTAAAAAGTGAAAACGCAAACTACTCTGCCTCAACAGCCGTCCCTTTCCGACGTATTCAACGCTTACGAGTACGAAAGAGATGGAGCGAAAGTAAGTCGCGCCGTCGCGTAAAATGATATATTAATGTCAGCTGCGTTTAGGACCTCGTGAGTCTACAAAATAATAGATGGTCACAAATAAATTACTCGGCGAGTGCATTTCTGTAGGAAATTCGGGCGGCCGTCGACCTCGACCGTGGCGCGTAAATCAACATTGATATACGAGCTGCCGAGGTCGCCATCTTGAATTTTGCGCGCGAATTTTCAATCTGTGCTCCACTTACATATTTCTGAACGTTTGACAGCTGAGACTTATCGTCTGCCTTTCCTATTATTGTGCTGTTTATATTTGAAATTCATTTTAAAACGGATTATGGCTTTTATTTTTTTTTTACAAGGTAAATGATAGATTCCTGTACCCGTAAGTTTGCTTTTAAGAAACTACGATAAATTATAGTAGATACAATCGACTTTATCAAGTTCAGATGCTTGGCTTCATTCATAAGTGAAAGCGCTATAAAGACATTACAATCGTTTAATAGACAATTGCTCTGCTGGCGAACGTCACCACAGATAGCATTTACGACAGCGCCATCTATCTTAAGAGTAAACAATAATGCATTTAAATCATCGCTACCTAAATCTTTCGACATATTTTTGTTTCTAATAGCAATTTTGTAATGTTATATAGAGAATTGTGTTATAATTAACAATTGCTTTTAGATACATATCTGAGGTTGCGCGGTTGCTGATATTAATCATGTTTGGAGATCCGTAGGCCCGGAAATGGATCGCCGGAATCGCTTTATAACTAACAGAAGATTATTAGTTGACATGTTAAATAGTAGGAGACTTCAACGAAATAATTATTAATTTTATGAGGTTTCAGCTAATAATTTTGCGTTAAATTAGTAACACATTGAGAGATTTTATTTTATTTTTTCTACAACAATAGTCAGACTTGTTTATTTTATTATGCCAAACTGTTAACATAAAAATTCGATTTAATGCTGAATGTTATTTAACTTGACAGTGGTAGTGCCCGCTTTAACATCTTAGCACGAATGGGTCGGCACGCCCGGTGCAATACCACGACCACACAGAAGACAGTCGTGAAATGGAAGCAATTCCGAGTTTCGTCTGATGAGTGTGGTGCCGGAGGCCTAATTTAAGTCCCTTTCACTTTACCACCCTTTTCTTTTGAGGAAAGGTTGGAAAGGGGAAGTGGATTAGACGGCGGAGGAGATGCATAGGAAGGGAAAATATCCTCTTTATGCGCGTCTCCTCCTCCGTCGTATAAGGGTAGGCAACGCATCTGCAATTGCGGATGTCTATGGGCAGCGGTCGCTTCGTCATTTTGGCGGATTTTAGTGGCCGCATGCTCGTTTGCCACCTTATGTTATATAAAAAAAAAAAACTTTAATATTTATACGGAGCCCTACTTCGTTTAAATCTGCTCATAGAAATAGAAACAAAACTTATTACAGACGTAATTAATATTGTCTGTCGATAGCAAGAACTGATGAAGGAACAAAGAAAAGTCGATAACATTTGAACTAGATATACTCGTAGTAGCTAGTAATTTCATTTTATAGCTTACGAGCTTTCGCCCACGACTCTGTCCGCGCGGAATTTAAAAAAAAATTAAACAAGTAGCCTATGTGTTCTTCCAGACTATGCTCTACATCCATGCTAAATTTCATCGAGATCCGTTCAGTCGTTTAGTCTACAAACTCTAACAAACATCCATCCATCTAAACTTTCGCATTTATAATATTAGTAAGAAGTAAGATTTAGTTTTTTTTATCATACATTTATAAAAAGGTAATTACGACAAATGTGCAAATAGTTTTAATCAAACAATAAACGACGGTTTTTCTGTTAACTTATCCGTTAACCTCAAAATAATTTAAGCAAGTGAACGGGCTGACCGATACATTGGACGTTTATTCGATATTTATCTGAATGTGTAAACGAACGATTGCTTTCCCAACGATATTTGTATTTCATTTATTTACGACTAAAATGACAAATGAACGCATCTTCTCGCGACGTCATTTCCCACCCAATTTTTGACGTAAAATAAATGCGCCATTTTAACGGCCAGTATGAATATTGAATTTGTCTCTAAAAGCGTGCGTACAATGTAACTAAACTATCGCACAACTGTTTAGTCATTTCTCGATTCCTATGAGCACACTATTCGATTTTTAGTTGCGGATCGAACATTGAATTGGCTGCTAAACAGTCGACAATCGCAGTTTAGTCAAAGTGCTCTAAATCGAATAGTTGTTGGTAATATAACAAAATCAACAGTTAAGTTACGTTCCCGCTAAATAAAACAATAGAGAAATTCCATAATTAAATAACAATCTATGAAACGATAATCGATGCAACCAGAACTTTAAAAATGTTCCAACTCCGTGAACTTCGAAATTTTACACCGAAACGTTAATTACAGTAAAGGTAATTTTCGATTACACGCCAAACTGACACTTCCAAAAGGTCTAAGACGCGTTCATTGCCGTTCCACAACTTGTAACCGTATCCCTAAGGGTACAGAGTTTACATTCCCTAGCCACACTCGCACGTAAGCGGAGAGCTAATAAATTAACATGCTTTAATGACCTAATCAAAGTTTACGACCCAAGTCGAATCCTCGACTCCTAGTGTTGGACGATTGACTCATTTTGCGTTGAAAAAATTGAGAAGAAAGAAAAAAAAATCGGTCTCGACTCGACCGTAATTATTTTTTGGAGTTTTATGAAGATTGGAATTTTTGTTAACATGGCCGTTTTACGCGCGCCATGATTTATGAGGCTTCCTGCTGTCTGCCGGGACGCGGGAACACCAACACGGCAACACTCACCCATTGCATCTGGAACAAACAGAACGACATGTTAATATAAGTATTCTGCATTACAAGTATGGCAACACAAAATACAAAGGTACAATTATTTTAAATCCCACTACAGACAGTATTGTTACCAATTAAAATAAAAATAGATAATAATTCATAACGCAACGCCTCTATTCTAGACAACAGATTATAAAAATGTTACCATATTATATCAATAAGAAAGCATTGTTATTAAATACCCTGTAATTACTTTACGGTAACATGATCCCATAATTTACTATATTCAAGGAAAACTGAATATCGTAGCATGAATAAAGACAATGCTTGGCCCCTTCGCTATCATCTTATCACGCACAGACCTATCACCTATCGCGCTATCGTGACAGGTTTGACATATTGACAGGTGACAAGTTGACAGATGTCGAGTACCGTTACACTATCGCTTTCCTCACTTGCGATTACAATATTTAAGTTATTTTTTATACATCTTACATATAAAAAGTAACTTTAACACGCACTGCGTATTCCGCAAATAATTGACCGAGGTGTTTATATTTAGAATATGTTGTTCTGCTATGCTTAGCTCACTGCCTCACCGACCTACTTGAAATCCTACGAGTGTAGTTTCACTCACTTTTCCCGTATTTATATAGTTCCGTATATTTACTTTATATGTCATGTAGACAAGAGGAGCTAGCAACTAGCAGACAATTTATATAACAAACATTTTTATAAGAATTTATGTTCCATCATGTGTCGGGTCAAAGTCCGCGGGCGAAGCAGCGGTGCACAGCTAGTGCTAAATAAATAATTAAAGGAACTTTTTACCTCCGACTCGTCTCAGCCGAGGCAAGCGGCCGAGGCTCGCCCGGTTGTTGCCGACTACAGTCTATTTACATTCCGCGAGGAGAGCACGACGGCCTACTGTCACAACCGCACGTTAACTACACGGTTACGGTTAACTCGGATTCTTTAACTATCCGTTAACTTTGTAAGGTAATATGCTCATCAGAGCTATCAAGCTTTTTGAAGTAAATTATGGTAGATTTTAGAGTTAATTTGTCGTTTTGTCGATAAAAATGTTCAATAAAAATCCAATTAAACAAAAAAAAATTAAGTTTTCGAAATTCCTATAAGAAAATACTTTCGTTAAAATATGAATGTTAAATTAGGACAATGGGTGGTCTAGTAAATAATAAAGAATATATGACGCTAGTTCATAATTTAATCCGGGTTTAGTGCGAGACGTGGAGACGCGTGGTGTGACTGGCCCGAGCTGTGACGCGGCCCTACTTGGAAATGTTCGTCTGATTCCACTTAGTGGGTACGCGCGGGCTTACATGGAGCTCTCTTATTACGGTACATCCTCACATACGATGTCATTATTATTCTTATAAATATTCAACAATACCAAGAATGTTTTTGCTTCCATATTACCCTATTTCTTTCAACCTTTTTGTCCAACAAGATACGAATATGACAAATCTTATAAGAAATGTATTGGTTTGTATTAGTTTTGTTTGCGTATAAAACTTTCGAGACTTTATAGCAGTTATAGTAACGATGTGAATTGTTTAAATAAAGATTTATTAGACGGTCTGAAGGCGCGTGCATGTAAGCCTGATCTTATAACGTTGCGTGCCTCTCCGGCGAGTGGGAGTCGCTCTTAATAAGCGGCTTATATACAATAATAGCGGTGCATACGAGCAGCTCGCAGCCGCCTGCAGCATGGCTATTTATACCTCGTGACCCCATAGCTTTGACAATCTCGACGCTCCCGTAGCCGACTCCATTAACGCCATCCGCCAAAACATTGTCCTATTCTGCGTTACAAGTCGTTCCAAATTTGAATAAGTATGGGGAATAATGGCAGCTAGCTCTTGCATGCCAGGTACTGACTGTGTGACACTTGCCAGGTAACACTGGACATAAATTTTTACTAGCAGGTATGTTTAGTTTTAAATTACGGTGGTTATTTGAATCTACAAAATGATGTCATCTGTTAATGTCATTGACAAATTAATTGCTCAAATCTCAGTAAAAATGTAGTTAACTGTATACGTTTTTGTTACAATATTGTTGCGAGGAAACTTGTAGCGAGTTAATTAAGAAGAAATTAATCAATCAAAATTGTCGATGGACGAGATAACGATATACAGTTATTTACGTCGGAGGCGATTTTACAACTCGATGCGACCGATCTCAATTAAATTTATAATCCGATGATAGGAACCGTTAGTTGGAAACTAGTTTGTTATGATATTAGTCACTTAAACATTTATTGAAGCCGCATCAACCTCCATAACTTGAAATACAACTGGTTTCATACAGATTTACATAATAAAGTGGAGAAAATGTATTAAACTTTACAATCTATCGGGATTAGTTACAATTTACCTAGAGTACCGGTTTGCGAAACATGTGGGAATAGGGTCGTATGGAAAGAGATCACGGGGTTCGATTCCTCCGCCGAATCGTCTAGTAAAGGTAAAGTAAAGTCGGAGTTGTTTTGAGCAAGTGACCGGGACTGAAGCCGCGAGATGCTCTATAAATTATCATTGGAGACAGCACTAATGCAGCGAGCGAGGCAGAGCGATAGCGGCGGCGGCGATGCGCGGCGCTAAGTGCGTTCGCTTGTCCGGCGATATGCGCTCGCCTACACGCGGCCCATACGCGCATAGTACCTCGCCTGATGCGCCTACTCTACTCTCTACACCACTTCTTCATTATTTTTTCGTCCTCTAAGGATTTGATGTTAAAATCCCCGTCGGATTCCCGTCTATTTTCGATACCCCTTCTGTTATTTATGTTCGGTATAAAGTCGCCCGTAAATTCAACGCTGACAGCTTTTTATCTACGAGGAATACGGAAATATCGGGATATCGTCCTCGCAGTTAGGGATATAAACATATTTGTTTAACGACAAATCTTGAATGTAGTTAATTAATTCAGTTTTGGTGCGTTTTATAACTTTTTTATTTATACAAGTGTGGAATAATATCATTCGTTTGGAGCGACGTTCTCGCATCGGACGAGTATAAACAAGTCAATTTACATGTATCCGGTCGGGATGGTCATTGACAGGTGGCGGCCGGGATTCGCTAGCAGTCATCTAAATGAAATTGAGAGCGACGTGTCGCGCCCGCTCTCGTTTCAACACATAATAAGACAAAAAATACATCATTAAAAATAAATAATTTACAAGATGTTATGGTGTTATTATATTACAATTCGCAGCGCGTCCCAGCCCGCGGTGTGACCCGACACGTAAATGATTAGCGATGATTCAGACACGTTGCTCTACCCTGCGGCAAGGGGAGGGGATTTCGTATTATCATTTAGTATCAAGCGGGAAGCGTAGCGCATATCTTTTATCATTTCCACTAGGATCCGATCCCGGAGCAAATCCCTATATCCGGGGATCGAGAAAGGGATCCGGTAATCCCGGTTAATAACGCCCGTGCGATCCGCCGCTACCCGGTCGCTACCCGGCCGTTACCCGGCACCGCCGCAGACGTCTGATAATGGAGAATTAGAAAGTTATAATTGCTCAATCATTGCTATTTAACCAGACATTTTAACAACAATATTATATTGAACATATCTGTAGAAGATTACTTAATTCCACCAACATGTTTCATTATAAACGATAGGTTTTGAATTTTTTATTTGACCCATTGACAAACTAATTCTTAGCTTAATTGTATTATGAAAAATATAAGGAAAATTTATATAAGAAATATTAATTCTACTATTTTCATGTTGGCAAAAAGAAAATCCTACTAAAATTTGGCAATAGTTTCGGCAGCAAGCGGCGGGCGGCGGGAAGCGAGGCGACGCAGATATAGAGGATTTGGTGGCTAATGATTCCGCGCGGCGACGGCGACGCGGCTCCCGACAAATCCTACCAATATGGAGTGCGGGAAATACCTGGAAAATGGGATTGTTATTCCCCTAGCCCTCGCGCGTCGCGTTAACTCCGAATGTATGGCGTGTAGCAAGAAAGAAAACACACGGCCGACAGCATGTACCGCTTCTCTAGTACTGAGTTCTTACTTGTGAATCACATTAACGTTGTTTTTTTATCAGCATGCAGTCTTTTGATCTCGGCCCATCTGGTCGTATTTCGCCGTAAGGGCTGGCCACACACGATCGTTTACGATTCCCAACAGTTTTACAGCCCGACAAACAAACAAGCGGTTCCAGGCAATGCTGTAACCCGCTTAACGCTTTCGTATCAAAGGCATCGCCGAAATCCTCGGTTCCCGGTACCCGGCGACGCTTTCTGTTACACAAACTTTCTTTCTAGCTTACGTCCACATTGTCATAACAAACTGTCAAATCATTTTTGCCCCTTTTGATTTATTTTTCAATGAAACAAGAACATTGTTTGCCGATATCAATCAAATTTAAATCGGGAAAAGTCGGTGTTGGTTTTAATTCAACTTTTCTTTGATAAACAAACGGTTTGTCCGTTGACGATTGCAGCCATCTGGTAACAGCATTCTTCTTAGATAAAAGTGTGAGAAACATAAGCGTTCGATCTTCCATTTTACAATCGAAATATTAAAACAAATGAAAACAGACAATTCAAAAAGTTGAACACTACAACGGTGTAAGCAGATGTACATTGTATTTACATCAACAAACGAAATAAACTTGAATTTATTGTCAACTAGATTGTTACTAACAGACAATTAGTAGATGAGTGAGCAATAAGCAGTTAATACGCCGTAACTCTTATCGGCCACTTCCTAGATGATCTTCAGACAATAAAACGCTTGAACGGCGACACGGAATGTGAGTGGATGAAATTTTCATTAGGGAATCCCGACGCCTCATCCCGGTACAAAGCCCAGTGATTTACATTTAAAGTCTCGCGCAATAAAACGTAAATTGCGCCGTTTCGACTGGCGGTTGAACATCAAATTTTCTATTCGGTCGGACAAAGGGCACAATTAACGGGTCCATTGTTCGCGCCGCACCTCCCTGCACCTCCCTGCACCTCGCGGTACCTC